TTGCGATGGCTTCTGGACTCTTCGACTTACGCGATTTCTTTCGCTGAATGTTTTTCTTTTTGAGCAGAGCCAAAAGTTCTTCGTCAATCCAAGGGGGGTCATACACGCAGCGGGATGTACGTTTGGGAATGTGATCATTCACGGCAGAGATGAAGGACTCACACCAACTGGAGAGTAATGTGTTAATATCATCAGAAACAAAACCAAGTTCCCATGGTATATTTGCTAATACTTGTTTTAAACCCGACCAATTCGCGTTTTTGAAATTGTACACTGAACGCTTGACTTTCGGTTTTTTACAAATCTTGAAATCGACATCGAAGCTTATGAGTGTGTGATCTGTACTAATAATGTCCTCGAATCCATGCACGTTTATAACTTTTTCTGGAATATTGGTAAGAAGCAGGTCCAGAGTGTTGTTAATTCGGGTTGGAAAGTCAACTAGCTGCCATAAGTAATTATCTTTGACAGTTTTAGTGAAGAAATTGTGAATTGAGTCATTGTTTGTAGCTACTCCGGTAGACCAATCGATATGTGGAAGGTTGAAGTCACCACACACAATTAAAGAATCAAACTTTGCTTTAGAGGCAAGTGTTAAGGCTTTCTTAAGTTGCTTGATGTAGTCCAGATTTGTGTTGGGCGGTCTGTAGAATACAAGAACCAACAGTTTTTTTCTGGATTTCGGGCGAATTTCACAGGCGAGCATTTCTGTGCTGTCGCTTTCGAGATCTTTTCTACGTAAGTTAAATATATTGTTCCGGACTGCTAACAGAACCCCACCTCCAATTCTATCAGCTCGATCCTTTCGATGGATTGTAAAATTTTGACCGGGTAGGAGTTCACAATTCCCTATTTCAGCATTAAGCCACGTCTCAGTTATTGCAACAATATCAAAGTCAGTTACTAGTGCTTGAAATTCAATTGTTTTGTTTACTAAACTTCGGGCGTTGAAATAAAGACATCGCATGATGTGATCTAACTGTTGTGGTGGAACGTGTTCAGGTGTATCTTCTGGACCCGGATTCATCTCTACGTCGTTTGCCAAGAGGATTAACAAAAGCGGCAAAACCGACCTTTGTAGTAATTTCAGGCCATTTGAGAATCGAAGAACTGATAGGGAGTTTATGTGTTTCCTCACGCGACGAGCTTGAACAAAACACGGTGGTGAAAGAGCTTTCGTTGATACATAAAACAAGTTTATTTTGCTTTCTTCAGTGACTTGAAAACCATGTAGAATTAACCACAAAAAGAATAGAAAGTAGCTCAATTTGGCTGCAATCATGTTCAATAATCAGGAAAAATCTGTTCTAATCAATTCTAGTTTGCGTACGCGATCCAACTTTCTTTAATTAAACTTGCGAGATTGCGTGTTCGTTTGCACTCGCCAGTATCAACCGTCCCTTGTTTGCGCGTGCAGGAAAAGACAACGGAAACTTCAATTCAACGTTAAATCCAACAAATTATTCAGCCAATAATAACGATAATTTCAAAAAAACCTTATATCTTTAATCCAGGAGACTTTAGCCAATGTTTTGTAAGTTTTTTTACTCAGAACTTCAATCACAAAGTGTAAAATCCTTAGGATTTTACGGAGCTCTGCGGCGCACGCCCGCCGCGCACGAGCACGATCACGGTACATCTAGCTTAGCTTTGCCGAACACGAATGATACTTGGGCTTGACCGGTTTTTTTTTCGTCTTGGTACAAGACGTGGCGTTCTCTCCGTCACCAACAGCCTTTACGATCCTCTCGGAATCGCTGCCCCGGTCGTCATCAAAGCCAAAATCCTGCTGCGAGCTATGACAACAAGCCTGAAAGCCACCCACTTGACGACTGGGACCAACCGCTACCTGAGCAATATAAAGCATCCTGGGAAGCTTGGTGCAAATCCCTCTCAGACCTAACCGAAGTCAGAGTCCCACGTACCTACGCAAGCGTGTCACTGTCCGAAGCAAGCCGTGTAGAAATCCACACATTTTGCGACGCCTCCATCGAAGCCATTGCTGCTGTCTCATACATCAAAGTCGTCCTGAAAAACGGTCAAGCCCAAGTATCATTCGTGTTCGGCAAAGCTAAACTTTGACCAGCATTGAAACTTTCCCATCAGGAGGTGCATGACTTTTCAGGGGAGGTATAAATATTCTCAGGGGAGATGCAAGACAATCTCAGGGGAGGTACGCACCTCCCCACTAATCCAGCTATGCTGGTACCGGTGCCAGTGATCTTATGTCTATAAAATTGACAGTACACTCTTTCTGTTTTGAAAGTGCTTACAATTTATAATTTCTTGTATATAACGTTCCATGTATTAGAAGTTTTAGGCTATCTAAAATTGCCTCAGAATCCAAAGAATGGTGATGTTGAGGCCTTAGAAATCCAAACTTTTCCTGGGGGAGCAAGTCGACAAGTGCTCTTCCTGTAATGCTTGGACATATTGCACCATCACAATGTTTTTATAGACTTCCCCCAAACAAAAAAAGATGCTCATTGACAGGGTACCACTTGTTACATGATGACGCCGTATCATGAATATAAATTGTAACATAAAAATGATTTTGTACTCCTGCTTAATACTATATCTATAGACACATTATACTTCTATTTTAGAGTTAACATTAGATTTTAGAGTTAACATTAGAGTTTAGGCACTCATATGACTAAGCAAATGCTCAAGCCAACACCTAACCAAAAGCATGACCAAATAACATAATAATGACCAGCTCATAACACATTGACAGATGTTCCTTTTTTTGTGGTGCCCCCCAACCTTTCAAATTCTGCACCGTTGGGTTCAAAAACAGTTTCAAGAAGCAAAATAATCCATTGCTTTTTAACCCATTAATTAGCCAACACCACATAGATTAATTAACCCAGTGAGTACTCTCCCCTTGAGGAGTAAAATTGTCTGGCATTAGACATTTGAGTAAAATAATAAAGTAGGATGCATTGGGGCACAATGCAACTCAATGGGTTAAAATAATAATTAAAAGTAGTATGAGAGGGTGTTGATGGAGTATATCGTGAGTCATGATTCACTCAATTTTGGTTACCATCAGTCGTGAAAACACTAAAAATTTACTGTGAAGCGCGAGGAAAAAAGTACTGTTTATCGTTTCAGAAAACTTTTCGAAGATTTTATTACCATTAAAATACCAAAATGTTATCATTAAAATACCACCATTTTTACTGTTTACTGATTTTCAGACACCCCCATCTAGACCCTTGTATGATAATGAATTAAAACAAATGACAAATTGATTGATTTTGGTTGGGTTGATTAAATTTGTCAGACAATCCACAAAGCCAAAACATGTAGCCAATGCAGGGCTCGAAATAGAAAAAATATATGGCCTGCCATTTTAATTTTTGTTTGGCAAGCCAAATAACTTTTCGCCTGCCATTTTTATTTTTGAACTGCCAAAAGTTTATAGCATGTTACCTGGTATATTTGTCAACAGAACCAAATAAACTTGTAATAAATGTTAACTTTACTAAATGTAAAACTTAAATAATGTTAACTTAAATATAAACTTATTTTGACGATTAGTTCTCGAATTCATCACTGTCAATACTAACATCTACAAGATCACAGTCAGACTCAAACTCAGTGTCTGTCTTGTCTGAAGACATGTCTACATCTAACTCTGTTGTATCGGACTCTGAGTCCTTTAGTAGCTTCTTCACAGTTTCAGCAACCTGAGATTCAGCCAGTTTTCTTTTAGTCTTAGAACCAGATGCTCTCGGCCCACTTGGCCTCACATTAGGCCTTCGTTGTGTGGCACATTTCTCAGTCCATCTTGCAAGCACTGGTTGTGCATCAAATTTTTCTGGTGCGGGCCCTTCCACCCAAATTCTTAGCAGATTCTCAACCCTCTTTTCTCCTAAGCAATTTCTCCAATCACTGTGGATAAGATTCATTGTTGAGAACATGCGCTCAAGAGTTGCGTTACTGATTGGAACAACCAGGAGAATTTCAGCAACATGTAGGATGTTGCTCAGAGATTCTTTCTTTGAAGAACTGAAAAGCTTTGCCCAGACATCAACATATGTCATGGTTTTTAATCCAGTTGTCTCAACCAATTGCTTCAGCTCATCCCACTCACATTCAATTTTCATGACATCACAACCGTTTGCATGGAATATCACTTAATTACAACCATTAAATCTAAATGTCAAAACATCAAAAGCACACGAACCTGGTTTAATTCATCTTCATATATTTCAGCTATAGTGTCAACAAAATCTGCACATGCATGATCGTTTAGGTATGTTCGGCCCAATTCAACCCTATGCCGTTTCTCTAGCTTAGCAATGGCAACAAATTTGGTGAATGGCATCTCTTCTTTGACAACAACATATGCTATTTCAATCAATTTCTTGACTCTCACTTTATCATTCTCGTTTAGCTTAAAAAATGCCTTTCCCAGTGGTGTCGCAGCATATGCAGGTAGTGGGCCTGGCTTTGCCTTAAACATCTCTTCATCCTCCAACTTCAATGCAAGCTTGTGTGGTTCCCCATTCATGTGGGTTTTCACAGCATCTAGCTTCACATTTGTTGTACCACGACACCATGAAAAGTTAAAATTTCGCGTGTTTGTTAGCTTCTTTTCATATTTTGCACACAATTTGCATCGCACAGAAGTTACCCAAACTTCACCTTTGTGCCTATTAGAGTCTACAATTTCCAGCCAATTCCCAACTTTCCATTTCAAAACAGTAGATTTTTTTATATTTCTTGTTGTACCTGAAGACTTAGACGCATTCTTGGACGCCATTTGTTTTGTATATTTAATAATGGCGGTCCTGAATGTAGCCTGGGATCTAGTATACCGCTGGACATTAGTATGCGCCAGCAAATAACACAATTTTATTTAATATCTTTGGCTTTGAATGCTGCACTTGACTTAAATTGTGTTATTTGCACTGGCGATTATTAACACTTTCAAATAATTAAAATTGGAGTTTTTAGTGGTAACTGGTAAGCAAATAAAACGGAACATATCTATAGAATTTCGCTTGCCATTTTATTTTTGACTTGGCAGTTCAAATTTTTTTTCGCCTGCCATTTCTCAAACATGGCCTGCTTTTGGCCATTGGCAGGCCGCTATTTCGAGCCCTGGTAGCCAAGGCTTACCACAACAATGTGCAAGGCTCTCTCTGTGACAAGTGAAACCGTAATAACGTCTGTGTTTTGGGCAAATTGCAGCAATATAATCACAGGTAGCCTTAGCCTCCTGCGCAGACGTTGTTAGTGGCCGAGGCCTCACCTAACGTCTGCTCACATTTGCTATACATTTGACTTCCCGGCAATTAACCAATCACAATCATCTACACGATAATTGGAAGATCGGCCTTCAATGACCTTCACACGCATGGGCTATATCAACAAGTC